TTTTAAGGATCGATCGCGGTTTATTCAAGAACGTCACATGCCAAAAGGATTATAAAGATGAATATGATCCGATCTTGAACAGTGAAGTCCCATTTCGCTCATATGCAGGCAGTGAGCTTGAAAGCCGAAAAATCCTGCATCTTGTGGTACACTCATCATTGGTTTTAGAATGAATATCGCCCCCTCAAATTTCCATCGAGAAAGGAGCAGATATTCATTCTAACGGCAACATTGAGATATCATAATTAGTATTTTGCAGACCAACCGAATGGAAATTGTAGAAATTCAACTGGATACATCACATCTGTGCACCTTTATCAAAGAGAATCAAGCGACCTCCTTGTGATCTAAATGATAATTATCATTTAGGTCACAAGGAGGTCGCTCAAATCTCTATGATAATTGATTAATGACATGAATTGCATCATATTCCTTCCAATCATAAGTATCCAAAATTACGCCACCTCTGCAACCTGGAACATATTGAATTAGTTGAATGGAACGAACCACTTTCTGAACAAATGTAAATGTAATCTTATACAAAATTACCTTAAGAGGAGTGTATCCCACATCGTCTTTAGAATGAATATCGACCCTTCCCTCCATGGGAAGTTCAATGACCGTCTATTGGAAAATAATAGATAAATTGTTTAAAACGGTTCGTATAAACGGAAAAAATCAAATCGTCTTGTTTTAAAGCAGAAATTCATTCAAAATTACCCCACTCAGCAGGGCAGCGAAGAGATGTCCATCCATCGTTATCTTTTTCACGTACATCGCCTTCCCCAGTGCGCAATGCGTGTCTATTTTATGAAATAGTTTGTACACATTTAGACCTAAAATAGATTTGTAGTACATTTGATTTGTGTGCACAATTGTGTCTAACTATTGTGTACATACATTTAAATACATACAAAGTTTTTGTGCATAATTGTGCACATACAAAATATGTATATTTTTTATACAAATAGATGCACAGTTCGAAGCACAACTGTGCACACGAATTTGGATACAAATGTGCATAAGAATTATGCACGCGCTTCATACAAAGTTTCGTTACGTTTTGCGCACTGGGTTCGTCCTCAATGAGAAGTTCAACGACCTCCGTTTGAACTGGAGAAAGAAACGATGAATGAAATAGATTGAAAAACACTCTTTCTACACAGACAGAACCGTTTTGAATATTGTTTTTTTTTTCATTCATTTTTGAAAATTTCCATTCGCAACAGCTAAATGTACAGCTGTTTCTCCTTCCTATTTGAAATTAATTTCAAAGTCCTTTGAGAAATTATTGACATTTCTCACTTGGTCCAATTATCAATTTTTTATGTTCAATAGCCCAATGTAAAATTGAACCATGATCATCAACTGACAGCCAAAATAATATTCACATTGGTCTTGGAATGATTTTTTTTTTGAATTTTTGGAACAAAGTCATATATCTTTGGGTACACAAAGCTGGACTAAGCATTTTTATTTCAAATTCAAATTTCGTATCACAAAAACACTTTTTTTCCTAGTGTCGTAGTTCATATTGTCATTAATTCAAATTAGCCCGAAACATACGGTGATCATATTTGAACAAAGTTAATTTTATATATTCTGAAATGACTCTATCAATTTGAAGGCAGAAAAAAAGGATCAATGTTCTTATCACAGTTAAATATTGCATCAACACATCGCACGCTCATTTCATTATCACTCTGAACTGTGTCTTTGCACTCACTTCATATTAGAGCTATGAGTGATATTGTTATGTGACTTATGTGACGTCAAATGAGTGGAATATGAGGGAATTTATAACTGATATTGAACTCGGCTAAATAGTTGAGTAATAAAGTTGTGAAAACACTAAAAAAATTGCTTATGAGATTATTGTACTGAAGTGACATTTCGTTTTCAAGGTCTCTTTCGTAAATGTCATGAAAAAAAAGTCCGATGAATTTGTATCTCTTTATTCGTTCCGAATCATCCAAAATTGGTGTCTGATTTGAATTTACTCCTTATTTCTATCATTGTACGTTTGATCACAAGACACTCTGTATTTTCAACATAATTTTAACAACAGCACACCCATGAATTCAATTCAAATGAGTTTAAATTGCCCACAAATTTTATCCATGGTATCAACATTTAAAATGTTCATCTACACACAGTTGATTAATTCACAATTTAAAAACGAAATTTTCATTCCAAAAATTAAATTCAACAAGAATGCCAAAAATATGTTCTTTCAAGAGTGAATGAACCGGCCATTTCGAAATGATCACATCAAATGAGAGTAAAAATCGTGAGACTCACATCTGTTTTGAGCACTTTTCGATAAAGGAAAAAGAGAGGAAGCGAAAGAAAGAAAGTTAGAGAGACGACGAAAGAGAGAAAGAGAACCGCGATGTGAACGAACACAGGAAACCGAGTTATCGTGACACAGAAAAGCAAACAGTATGGCCAATAAAAGAAATCAGAATTTACTGAGTAAACGCTTCATCACAGTTGTTTTTATCAGTTTTTATTCCTACTGGATGGTAACTCCCAATGTCACATTTTATACAAATACAAAAATGAATATGAATTTAATAAGAAAGAGCTTTATTGAGTGGCTGAGTGTGTTCTTATTCCAAATCAGCATGTGAGCACGAGACTTATGCTTATTGTTCTATTTCGAACGATCCGTTTTCATAGTAACCAGTTAAGGTACTGTTTTCAAGCCACACGAAACGTGCACGATTGTGAATCGGTGAACGATCTTTGCAATCGTGTACGATTATTTTTATATGGGGAAAAGGTCATTGGTTAGTATATTTGCTATTTCGAAACCAAAGATCTATGGACGATTCCAAAGAAACCGTACACGATTGTAATCGTGAACCTTTATCATTATTTATAGAATCAAAGACTCTTCTTAAACTGAAATATCAATGAGTTCATGCAAAATTATCCATTCCCTTCAAATAATTGACCGTTTTATTTTGCTCTCGAAACACACAAAACACCATTATGCCAATATGAGTCGAAAGCAAATACTCATTCTTCAAATTACTTTCAAATCAAACAAATCGTTAATTTCTACAAATCCACTTCTTGTCCGTGAATTTGGTACCGTTATTACCACTTTGGTTTATAGAATGCATATAATTGTGGTAAATTTTGAACTATGATTGGACAGTTTACAAATGAAGTTAAGTAATAGTCGTTGATGAAAAAAGTACTGATAAGACAGCAAATCGAAACGAGTGCTGATAATTCAAGCATGTTGATTTATTGTTGATTCAGAGTAATTTTCAATGGGTTCGGTCACATTTCCGCATATTGAAAAGAAATACAAGATTATGCAAAATAATTTGATGCGCTTCGACCAAATTTACAAATTGTGGATGATTTTGATTTCGGCTGGGGGCGAATTATAATGATATATAATTTGTCGCTAATTAGAGGTTTGTTTTGGAGCCACTATGGTAATTGAACAAATGTCCAAACATTAACACTGTTAGTCTTCAACAAAATGATGAAATCTTAACGACTGCTATTTTCATGTTGGCGCTCCATGTGTCAATTGACCTTTGAATGCATTTTATATTATGCGATTGAGCATTTAAATTTCAAGTTTGATACTAGCAATCGTTGTGGAATCTTAAATATTGACCATTCAATAACTGATTTTTACCGACCTGTTCTTTATTAAACGCAATACGCGCCAGTTACAAAACGAATAGAGTGAATACATATGATAATGTTCCTTATTATAAAAGAAAATCGCTTGATTCTCGATGAATGTTTCATTTTTACCGTTCTTTGTGGCCTATTATGATTTAAAAAAATGATTTTAGGTTGAACAATATCCAAAATAGTACTGATTCAGATCATTTTCAATCAGAATCCCTACTAACCGATCACAAACTCCATTGGACTTAGTTTAATTTTTCGGAAATTCTTCTGAATGATAAAAAAAGAAACATAGACTAGCGACAGCATGGAAAAATTTTTTGGCGATAATTCATCAAATAAATGAGATTTTTTGAATTCTGAGTTCATGTATTTTGATGGAAAAAATTAGTCAACATATTTGCCCCAATGGGCAAATAATAGCAGTTGAATCGTTATCGATTCACATTTGTAAAGTCAAAGAGTAGTTATCGTAAACACTCCAATTTGTAACATAAACTATCAATTTTTCGATTTGCATGTCCATTTCTACAAAATTACTTCATAAATTCCCAACATGTTTATATCTATTCGGAAGGGAATTATTTGATGTATCGGTTGATTAACGAAAAATTCATTCAATAGTTTAATTTTTTTTTTAATCGCAAAAATACACGAAATCTCATATTAGGAAACTGAACTATCCATATTGTAAACTCCAAATTGAAACATATATTCACAAACTTATGACGAAACTTTATGAAATGTCAAAATTTGAACGCGCGAAAACCGTTTGGGTTCCACGCAATTGTATCCAAATTCGATGTGATTTCGATTTATTCTATTGATTTTGGATTGTTTTTCTTTTATATTTTTCAATATTTATTGTTTTAAAACATTTTCGCAAACAAGAATATTTACACTATCATACATTTTAACACACTAAGTGATCGGCACATTGCGAACTGTCACATCTGTCAACACCAAATCAACCATAGAACTTTCATTCAAAGTTCAGTTTGACAGCAGCTTTGTATGTTATAACTCGGAAGGAATGAGTTACAATTGATACATCATGAAATTTGTCTAAAATATTAATATTTGTCGAAATATATTGCAAAAAGAGTGTTTCATTAAATTTTCGAAAACATTTCACAGTAGAAATTCATGGAAACATCAAATATTTTGTACTGTATTTTGTGGAAAAAACAATGAATTGGGAAGCGTGACATTGCAAAATAGTTCAATTTTTCCTCTCAAAACCAGTGAAAAACTAGATGCTGTTTTCAAAATGGATAAATGAATGTAAACTAAAACATTTTCAGTGTTTAATTATTCTACATAGATAGATTTTTTCGTGCTTTTTCCGAATATGTATATAATGTGTGGCATTTAAAATTCGTATCTATGTTGAAATCGTGTTTTTTTGCAAATATTTTACAATTTGGACTATGTTACAATTCGGAGTGTTTACGATATCTCTAAATATGAGTAATATTTGTTTTTAACAAGATTTTTTGGCATCAGTTTCAACTTTCAATTATCATTTTATAGTCGTCAACATTAACGTTTGCGTCTGGATAAATATATATTCGGCCATGCTACGGAGATTTTATGCGTTATGTTTTATTATTCGATGAGTCACAATCACTATCACAAAACGATACTAATTTTAATGAAATTCTTATTACAGAGCAAAAATAATGATAAAATGGAAATGACCGACGAAAGAATGTTTCAATGTTGATAAATAAATGCGCTCCTTTCGCATGATTTACTCTCAATACTGTCAATCAAGCTATCATATGATAACAATATGGATTGTTTTGCCTTCGGCTGAAGAGGGATCGTCGACTGCCAGCAACACTTGGGAAAATGTATTCTAGCTGAATGCAGAATTACACAGGAATTCCATCTGTTTAAAAGCATTGCATTAGAAAAATGTCTTATTTATGCAATGTCGATCTACATTCTGTGTGGATTTAAACCAAAACGAAGTTTATCTAAAAACAGACTGCGCTTAAAATACACCAACGACCAAAAAGGGATGCTGGTGAAAAACTTTTAAATATAGATTATAATTTTAAAAAAATTCACAACAACAAAAAAGCAGAAAACATTAAAAAATATGACACTAAATGATAGTTCGCCTACATTAGATTGAAAGATTTGGAAATCGGTAAAAAATACCAAGTTTGCGGTTTTGGTATGTTTAGAGGCAATGTTGCTAAAATTGAACGAGTATGTGCAACAGTTAAAATTGGTGACAACTATATGATTCTGTGTGAACGTTATCAGGAAATTGTCAAAAATCTAAAATTAGGAAATACCGAGCCTCTTCATATTGCTTATTGCGGCTCGGGAAAAAGAAGGCGTCCAGAATTTCATTTTTACGATTATTTATGGAATTTCATTGTCTAAAAAAATAATATAAAAAAAATGTTGAAAACAACAAACAATCGAGTTTAACTACATTATATTAATAAGATGAAATGATGAAAAATAAAAATAAACTCTTCTTTCGGTTGTACCATTGTAAAAATCATTTGTTTCATTTTATTTTTCTTTTTCCCTACATTTCAGAATATTTAATAATTAATTAATAATATGTATGCAAAGGGGGAAAAGGTAAATTTCTTAACGAAATTTCCTTCAGCGATTATATCGATTGCATTGAAAAGAATTGTGGTCACGATGGGCAGAATGCGAGTGGCCCTTATATTATTGTCCAGAAGCAAACTGCCATTCGATCGGTGATGCATAATGTGTATACGATACAGCAAGAGAAAATTGCACTCAACCCAACTGACGATAAACGCTACCTACTCCGACCTGATCGCATCGATACACTTACATGGAGACATTTTATGATAAATATATCCGAAGAAAATAAACGAGATAAGCCATAAAGTACAGATAAATCCCGTGTATCATCTCCACTTGTATTGTTTTTTACATTGAAGGGCGTTGCACGCACCTTAACATTCACAATACAAACTCAATGCGAGTGGAGACGCCTCATGAAAAATGGCACAGATTGCTAGTGCTAAGGTTTATCCGTACTTTATTAACCTTTATTTATTAACCACGTACCTGATCAATCCTGTGGATCCACTAAAACCCACTTCCAGAACCGGGAGCAGTTTCCATCGATCTTGAGGATGCACTAAAACCCACTTCGAGAAATATAATATTCAAAATATTCATGTTTTCGAACGAGATGAATTCCTCTAGGGAGTACCGGTCCAAAAAAAAACCAATGTATGATATTCCGTTCGTCTGACTCTATTTTTTTTCTTTTTCACCTCCCGATTCCAGAAAAAAAGCTAGCTCACGGGCTCAGAAGTCGAAGAGTTCAACTCTATGAAAATATTCGGAAAAATTACCTTTTTTTGTCAAAAATCTACAGTTTTTCAGCAGAAAAATCCATTTTTAAACATGTTTTCTCATTGTTTCAATAAAAAATACGAAAAAAAAGACAAATGCAATGAAAAAAGTATATTTATCTATTCCTTGTAGGCCTCCAAAAAATTTTTTTCTTTTCAAACGCAAAATATTTCACTTTCAATCACTTTAAAAAAATATTTACCCATTACTTGATTCACGCAATTCACGAGGGGAAAGAGAGGAAAATTTGTCCAATCCAGCTATATTTGGTTTTTTTGAATTTTATTTATCAATTAGAATTTTTTTTCAATGGCTCTCGTTTACTAACAGACATCAAAAGCTTACAAGCGATTTTCATATTTGCAAATTCTCAGCAATTTACACATAAAATGATGTAATACAATGATTTTTATTTGAAATTTCGAATAAAAATTGCATTCAATCCATGTAAAATCCGTTTTCGAGTTTTATTTGTTAAATTGTTTCAAATTATTGTTTTGAACAAAGCAATAATTACACGATGAACACGATTGCAAAGTAGAATTTATCACAAATGTTTGAATTTTTATTTCAATTCTTCGAATCATTGTTGGACGGTTTCGATG